ACGTCGAGTACCTTCATTCCGAGACGAACCTCAATTTATGGCTCAAGTAAGGATTGTCATTCTGATGTTTCAAATTCCTAAACATCACTGCTCATTGTTGAAAACGATCTCAACGCTACTGATAGGTCTAGAATCCGTCAAGTTGATTTGCTGATCAGTTTTTCTTTGATTATCATGATCAATCAATGATGTTTACTGACGTTTTTATTGGGATAATCAGTATAAATTTCCCGACTGACAGTAATTTTCGAATGTTCCGACATTTTCACAGTTTCACATGGTGATTGTGAAAGGGAAGTTGATATTATGTGGAGCTGGTATGATTTTGCATGAAAACAATAAGAACTATTTCAGCATCTGCATTAAGCGATGTTAGCTTGCCTGCAGCAGGAAGAAGTTACGGCAGTGGGAATGCAGCTAGTACATACGATCGAGTCACTCCGTAAGTTTGTTCTACTGCATCGGTTCAATTTAAACTTTCTGAACTCGAACTATTATTTTGGAGAGTTTGAAGTCACAAATGAAGGTCATCTTCATTTGACGGTAGCAATCAGATGATACTCTTTGAGCAGTGGGGTGTTTGGAAGATACGTTAAAGTTATTTGAATGCTCATTTTATTCAAGATGTTTTGCTCTCTCGTCAGTTCATTTTAGTGTTAATAACAGTGATAATATAGCATAATAATGGTAATACTCATATTAGTTATAGTAATCTTATTATTATAAGTTCTGTTTTCGATCACGTCTTCAGAAAATCAGAATAATAGAGAGGAAATTCTTGATATGGAGAAGTAAAATTTCTCGCAGAACGTGAAAATTCAAAAATTTTCCATTAGATATTCGACAAAACGACCCACGTATTCGTCAACGACGACAGGACGTGCCCCATCGATAGGACGCTATGAATATCGCTCCCAAACTCCGAGCTATTACAGCGAATCGGATAGGAATCCACGCTTCGAGAGAGATTACAAGTCTATGTCAAGATTCTCGACTGATCAAGTATGAGATCATTCATTCACGTCAAATTTATGTGTCATAAGATAGGCATTGATAATCGAAACATGATTCTGCACATTTATTTCGTCGAATGCATCAAAATTTTGCTGATTTCATTGATCTCTCCATGAGACTGTGGCAAAAATAAATGTGAAATTTTAAGTTTCACTTTGATTCCTTTGTGATTTTCAGGATAAATCTTCCCCTGAGGATGTGGAGAAAACCTTTCAAAAGTTATATAACCGTTATGTCCGTGCGGACAGTCGCACCGAATCATGTAAATCGAAATCGCGCTCTCCTGAAAGCAACAAATCGCGATCAACCTCACGCGATGATACACATCGTGATTCTGTTACATCAGCAGGAAATAAACGTCAGTATGAAAGATGATGTGATAAAAATATTTCGAGAACAAATTATTATCAGTTCAACCAAAAATAGTCTCAAATTCGAACGTGAATCAGACAATTCTTTATGCGAGCCAGATGTAGAAGGCCTTGAGCTACACGGAAAGTTTTTAGTTGCTAAGAAGAAAGTCTATTATTCAGACATCCAGCAATGTTTCTAAAGGTATTTTGCACCGCCAAG